CTCTCGAGAGAAATTAACCCTAATTGATTGGTTAACCTACTATATCTCTAGGTCGATTAAAATCAAACAATCGCATTAAATTTTTGTGAAAATAGCTCAATGGATCACCTAGGGTTAGGGCTATATATCTATCCCTTAGGTAAACTTAGGGTATTTACTATTTGGTTTAATATGTATAATCTTCTTTCGAACGATATACAAATCACTAAACTCAATCATTTAATGGCCAAATAAATGAAAGGCGTTCAACACAATAATAAATATACATGAAAATAAGCATTTTAACATTAAAAGATAAATATTAAAAATACTTAAAGCTATGTTAACTTCAACTATAAATCCCAACAAAAATACTTCGTCCATGTTATATAAATAATAAAAAAGAGATATTTTATACAATACATTACAATTACGGCAAAATAATTGAGAAAATACAAAGTTATATATAAAATCCATTTGTGAAGATTGGCTTTGATTTCCCCACATATTTCTCTAAATCCTTAGATGTATTCTTCTTGTACTATTGATTTTGCTCCCAAAATAACAAGTAAATCAAAAGATAAAGAAAAGAAAAATGAAATGAAAAGAAAAGGAATCAAAAAAGGTTAGAAGCTGCCCTTCTGTTCCGTTTTAAAGGTTTTAAAACCCTATCCCATAAATTGCAGTACAAGCCCCAAATTTTAAAAAGTAAAGGCAAGACGATCCCTAAGATTTTAAACTAGGCACCTAGGCGCCAATTCTTGGCCAAAAAATGAATTTGGTTTAATTTTTGCAGCCAAGTCCACTATATAATTGCATTACAGGTCCTCAACTTTTATCTTGTACAATTTGGTCCTCATATTTTAACTTTCCTTTCATTTATGCCCTCCATAAATTGTATCCAATGTCCTTCAACTTCTGGACTTGTTCATTTTGGTCTCTACATTCACAATTTTGCACAAATTTAGATTTTTTGCTTTGTTCTATTTTTTGTGGTGATTTTTTACCTACAAAATCAATAATTACATAATTGTGAGTAGAAATTCATTCATTTTTATCAATAATAAGTATATTTAGGTATTAAATAAGTGTGCAAAAATACACTTATCAAATACTCCTAAACTCAAGCTTTCGCTCGTGCCAAGCAAGATTATCTACAGCACAATCAAGCACATGCGATAATGATCAATACATAAGATAGCTTGTTAAAAATATCAATG